ACCAGCTCAAAGGTAGATACTGACTGGAAAAAAAATTACATGTACTAGCTACTTGGTCACCAGCAGGTCTGTAACCTAAACACATCACTTAATACAATAAACTACATTAGCATATTGCAAAGGGCATCTGGGGGTGCTAGTCAAGCTCAGCTGCAAGCCGCACTCCATATGTGTTGTAAACATAAAAGAAGAGATGGAATGGGAAGTGAGGCATAGAAAGCTGAATAAGTAAGTTGAAGGACAGGCACATTTTATAACTACTGCTCCAATTCCTATGCCTTAAGCCCTATACATGGCTATTGCAGCTAATGTGGTCTTTCTTTATGAATGTTTTATGTAATTAGGTGATCCTTCTCTTAAGGACTCCCTCTTTAAATTAAAAAACCCTACTGTGACTACAACAGTAGTCATGTACTCACAGATGAGTACAGCTGTTGCCTTTCAAGTCCCTTCTGCTTGCTTTAGCCTGATGGCCTTTGGACAAAGTTTGAGGTGGCAGATTTTCGTTACAGCTGACATTGTTTCATGCACAATGCACCATAAATTGGAGCTACTTCCAAAGACACAGGTCTGTCATTCCTGTTACATTTTTTCCTGACATTCTTCTCCCATTTTCCTTTGTATCTTGTCAACAGTAGATAGGTCTACTGGAGCCATATATTATTTATGCAGTAGTGTTATAGACCAGAAAAGAAAACTGAATGGCACTGTAACTAAGCCGAACCATCTTTCCCACTCCAGATTAGTTTTTAACAAAGATCCAGATCTTTTGTCTGGTTGACTTTATGACAGCATGAATGCAAGCCGAGCACGGGAACAGAAAGAGGGAGGTGAGCAGGCTAAGGCTTTATGTTGCCTTATATTGTTCATGAAACCAGGACACGAGTCAGATACTCACCACCTGTTATTGGTTTACGTATTACAGTGCTTTATTAGTCAAAGGGAAGAAAACCATATCAGTGGAGAACTTGAGTAAAGAGAAGAAACATTTAAGGTTGCTCCTTTTGGTGTCAATATGATTTCATTCCCTTTAAGTAAAATTTGGCATTTATTGGCTAGCAGACTGAAACAGGAAATTGATCTAACTGTTCTTGGTTTCAGATAGGAAACATAATGTCATTTCCACTGTCTGCCTTCCTGGTAGGCACACTCTCAGAACATGGACGAAGCTTCCCCAAATACTGATACATTTATCCTTTCTTATTCTTCTTTCATCCCTCTCTAATTGCAAAATACATTTTTCTAAAAAGGAAAATACTGAAACAAAAAAACCTCAAAGACATTCTAAGGCAATATGCAGGCAAAATTTAAATACAGAAATTAATGACATTTCTAGTTAACAAAGTCAATAGCTGAGAAGAACATAGCTTAAGACTGTTGTTTCTAGCCATGGAGTCACAATCTCTTTTGCAAAAGACTCTAAAAGTAGTAGCTATAAATTAATCTTTAAATGTCTGCAAGTAAGTGTGCAAACAGCCAGGACCAGCTGGCTTGCAATCCTTAACGTGACAACAGTATGAAACTCATAACAGCTCAAAGCACACAAGGAAGAGAAACTCATTTTATGGTATTCCGTGGAACTGATTAACGTCTGAATGGGCAGAGTTTATTTTCTTTATCCTTTTCCCATACTGTACACCGTCTCTTCATTACACTGCAATTTTTTTCTTGCTTATTCCACTATAAACCAAATACTCTCCTCCTTCCATACATTCAAGTGGGCCCTTTAAAAGATCCACTCAAAAGAACTTGCAAGCTTCCAGTCTTTGTGTTCACCTTGGCTGTCTCTTGTCCAGGCATCAGGATGAAAACTCAGTGCAAATGATCCTGCTATGTGCATTCATTACCATAGGAATGAAATGTGACCTCTCCAACTAAATCCCCAAGTTAGGACAAATGTGGGACCAGAATTGCAGGACATGTTATGTGGCACAATTATCGGTAAGGGTATGTGGAAGGAGAGTGTCACTCCTTTAAAGGTATCTGGTCAAGGACCTTTTCCAATGCAACAGGAACAATAAGAAAAGGAGGAAGCCACAAACTAGAACATACGGGGACACAAACCTGACTGACATGATAAGGGAGGCAGGGATGAGAACCAAACCTGGTCAGTCACATCAATTGATAAGGGCACATGAGAGTGTGAGAAAGTTTATTCCAGTGAGGTTATCTAACCGTCAGTTGGGAAACTAAGGGGAAAAGGGGGAAACCAGAAACAAAATACACAGAGACACAGACCTGTCAAAACAAACATGGAGACAATGGCAAGAAACAAACCTCACTATGCACACTGACTATCAAGAGTGTGGGCTCTCAAGAAACCACAGGTGCCACTTCCAGGAAGATCAGCCTGGACTTTGCAACTGATAATATTGCATACCGGGGGACCCGGGACTGCGAGGGGTGCTGAAATAGAGCTGTACAAGACCCCTGGGGTGGGGGATGCGCAGGGGAAGGGGGAACAGGGCAGAACAAAGGCGGGTAGACAGAAAGGGGTGTAAGTGGGGCCGGTCAGCTGTAAAATGGGGCTGGTCAGTGGGCTTGTCTGGCTGAGCCCTGTGCCTGATCACTGCAGTCCAGCCTAGCTTCTTGTATCTTCTTATTAAATCTTTTCTTAAGCATCTCTCTGCATATGCTCACTCTCTGTCCCATGTGAACATGTGCTGCAAGGACTTGGTGCCAGCTACTGGTGAGACGTGGGGGTGGGCACCCTAGCCTTTGGTGCCAGCGACTGGATTGAGCGGGGTCTCCGTGTCAGCTACTGGAGCCAGTGGGGGTCTTTAACCCCCAGCCACTGGAGTGTCTGTTCCCAAAACCAGCTGTCGGGGGGGGACAGACAGCATGAGCGAGGCGAGCAAGGAGCTCAGCGCTGCTGGAGCGGGACCATGGGTCACTGCCCGTGTGCCTGGTGCCAGCTGTGGGGGGAGAATCTGTGTCTTCCCCAATTCTGGTGTGCCTGCGGTGCACGTGCATATTCACCAGCAAATTCACCACAATTTTTTGGTGACTTGTGAAGATGGCTATACTGGAGCAGACCTATGCTGTTCTGGGAGTCTGCTGTTTTGGACAGTGCCTAATAATAATCATAGTTACAACACTGATGGACATACAGGTCAAAGGAATTTTAAGACTGACGTGCCCATCAGGTGTACAGTCTGTATAGGCCACTGAGAAGCACACCAATTACTGATGAGTCTTCTTCCTGAAAGTGATCTCCATCTATGTAGACTGCACAAACTCACTTTAGCCTTCCTGCTATGATCTTGTGTGCTGATAATGGTTTAAAAAGGATCAGAGTTGTCCTCAAACCACGAGCTGAACTGGCATCTAATGTACTCCTGGAATTTAAGTCACTAACTCCGGCTGGTACATTATGTATCTCACATCTAGCTTGGATGTAAGGGCCATCTATTAAAAAATAAAGCTGTATCCTTTTGTTTCTGCAGATTTTAACTTAAAAACAAAAGTTTGTACAAACTACCCCTGTAAGTGAACTGGAATGAAGACAGACGCTCTCCCAAACTGCTTTGGATGAAATGAGATCTGTTCAGCAATAATTGAGTACACACCCACTCTAAAAATCAAAACTGGCACAGGAGGCCAGTATAATACAAAAATAAGATCAGCTCATACTGAAGTGTTGTACCCATGTGAAAACATTCTGCCACAAGAATAATTTACCTCAGATCAAGACACGTAAGAGAATGACATGCTCTCTTGCACAGGTGTAAAAAGAAAATGGGAGCATAAAGTTTCATTACATTAAATAGTAACAGAAAATAGCAGGTTTCCTTCCCCAGAATCAGACCAAATCCCTTTTCATTTCTTTAACACTCCGTAGTCCAAGAAATTATTTTCCTCCCTTCCTCTCTCACTGTTCCTTTTATTAAGTCCAACTATTTCTTGTATTGACTATTTGTAGAGTTCTGGACTTTGCTTGCAATAATAATCTCTCTCCCCTTGCCAGCAAAAGGATGGCTACTTTACAGATACTTTCAGTATCAAGATCCATCAGCAGAAAAATGGACACCAGAAAGCAGAACAGTACATTAAAAAAAGAGCTGAAACTACAATTGCACAGTGATTTGGTAAGATTAAGATTCTGCCATTCAATTTAAGTGAGTTAAGTAGTAAACAAGACACCACCACACAAACAATTGGAAAAGTCACTAAGATCAGTAGAGATTATGGTATTTTGTGTCCGTGAGACACTAAAAAAGAAACTTCAGTTTTCTTAACTAAAAAGGTCAGTTCAGACCTCAGAAGAAATAGAAGACCAACTCAAAGGAACAACAGCACATGTATTTGTTAGTTTCATAAAATGTATGTTCTGTAGAATACTGTATAAGAAAAAAAAAAAGGAGTCAGTAATACACAAATTCCCTGCGTGATCTGCTATTAAATATCTTATACAGTGTGGAGAACAATGTGCCTTTTGCACAGTTAGCATAGTAGTGAATCAAACACAAATCATGCTTACAACAGTAGAACCTAGAGTTCCCAACTGGGATCAGAGATCATACTTCCTATTGCACTAAAATAAAAGAAAATGCATCTTAGCCCTAAATGGTTTAGCAACAGAAACAAAAGGAAAAGCTGCCATGAAATTATAAATACAGACACCAAACTTGTGCAAGATCCACTGACAGGCAAAGATAACCGCACTAAGGAGAAGGAAGAATGTTTGCATCCTCAGTTACGATGTAGTCATATTCTGCTTCCAGTTCCATAGGTTTATATGGATTTTGATTTTGAGCAGACTTGGTCATGCCAGCTGCAGTGCCTTTTAAATACAATAGATTTTAAACATAGCCTTTGATCCAAAAAGTCCATTAACAATTCCATGACAGATCAATACAGGTCATTCCATATCTGCCATAATTATATACTATTTCTATAGGGATTTGTTACTGGTCATAGCCAAAGCAGAAGCCTGGAAAGGCTGCCACTTAGACCTTGTCCCTTAGTGCTCCTTAGGTCCTCCACTTAAGACCTTGTCCCTTAGTGCTCCTTAGGTCCTTTAACGAAGAAAAACACTAGGGACACAATTTTGTAGCAAATTGTTTAACATTTCAGTAACAGTTTAACTGTAACAGCCCCTTCTTCAGGCTCTTCATGTATTTAGGTACTCAAGTTTGTTCTTTACCCAAATACTGTCTCTTTTGCTCTTTCTACATGTGAAAAATACTCTTTAACTTCACAACTATACAAGTTATGAAAACCTGATCTACACCAGTGTTATTGAAAGCTTTCTATTAAAGTGTTTAAAAATTAAAGGATGGCATCTTTTGAAATTTTCATAGTTAAACTGTATTATTTCCAGTAAAGTTAATCTAAACATTGCTTTCAGTAACAGCAAGTACATGAGCACTGAGTGCTTCTTAAACCCTAACCAGGCAAGAATCACAGCAGCACAGCTGCATGAATGTAAGTGCATACACACGCATATTATAGCAAGAGGGCAAAAATTCTATAGAAGAACTCAGAAAGGTGTACGGTACTGCTGATATCCCAACACTGAGCTCAACAGTTACATACCAAACAATTAACAACCACAAGAGCTTATGGGCATCATTTCCATCAAAACCAAAGTTCAAATCCTAGTGCAAGCGTTTTGTAATCTTGCAAGTATATGACTAAAGCTTTGCAAGTATATAATTGAAGCTTACAGTTAAATGTACCTGAAGTTAAACATAACAGCTTCGGTGAACTTTATAGCTCCTTCATCAGTTTTCTCCGGAAGGATTTTTTTGTAGGTTTAGAATCCAAACTGAGACACCTCCAAACACAAAAGCAACGTGTACTACAGAACACAGACATACACACATATGTAGCCAAGTCCCCTGGGGTTTTTTTTTGTTGTTGTTGTTTTTGTTATTGTTATGTTCTACAGACAATCTTTATAAAAGATTAGTTTCATCATATGTATACTATATTACAGGCATATTTCTACCACATGAATAAATACTTGCAATATATTAAAAAAATCAGAACATAAATCTTGCCTTTGAAAACTTACCAATGCCCAATGTATTTAAGGCTCACTAAGCAATTTCAAATTTGTAATAGTCTCTACATTTGCAAAATGCGTTAGTAAAGTTTACAGATTTTTAAAACAGTTCGACAATCCCTCTTAATGTTTCATAGCTTCTCTCCTCCGTAAACATATGCTAGCTTTTCTTTCACCTCTCTCCTTTCACGCTTCATGTTTTTATATTGTTGTCTTTACAAAAGGAACAAAAGTATCAAAAAGACACAAACAATATCCAGTTCAGCTCCTTTCAAGCTTAACAAAATTCTATTAGGTACTCAGGGTAGATTTGGTTGGCATCAAAGATAACAAAGATCTTTGGGTTCCAGGTATTATCCACACAGCTGTCATACAAGTTCACAAAACTTCCATCTTTTGAAGGAGGCCTCATGTATTTTGAATCACCATTGATATAGTCACCAGTTAATACACGAGCAAGAAACATGACTTTATCTGGTCTATGCAGATGAGGCTGCAGATTCACACCATGAATTTGAAAAGTATCTCCATGCTTCATGTCCTCTTTGCAGAAACGACTGGAATATGAGGCATCTCTTGCAAAATAGGTCCCTTTCAAATAAAAAAAAAAATCTGATGACATTCTTATCATGACAGCTTAACTACTAGAGCAGGGATATGATGAAAGATGTGTGTTCTTTTATGTCCATAGCAATCCAATATTTTTTTTTTCCTAAATTGTTAGATTATAGCAACATGACCAAATATTTTTAGTGGAAACGTTTTAGTAGGGAGATTGTCTTGTGATCAACACTGCTTTGCTGGGCATCCCTTTCCCACGCTCCCTGGTCCTACCAGCCAGTTGTGACAATTACATTCCTTGCTGCATCCTAACTTTCTTAATTACACTTGATGTAAAAGCAGAGCTATATTGAACAGCTCTTCAATAAACACAGGGAGTACATCACAAAGAACATACTATAGGGAACACTTAATAATGTTCAACTGTTAAGATTACCAAACTGTTGTACGTGACAAAAATACTTACCTTTTCCATATACAGCGGCATGCATCCCATTTATTCTCCAGTCAAAGTTATGAATACATATTGCTTCTACAAATTCATTACTGGTGCCATGAAATAACATCTGCTCATTAATAGTTGGGACACCTCTCTTCTTCTTTAGTTGAGCTTTTTTCCTACAGAGAACACACAATACAGCATTACAAACATCTGTACAATCAAATTAAGTTACTACTCTGAAAACACTGCAAAGGGGACAGACCTAAAACACTCCATATATTCCACTTTCACAAGTGTCTAGATTATTCTAGTTTTTAAACAGATCAGAATTCTTAAGGTACATGTTTAGAAATCACACACTTCTGGATACTGTGGACTATTTTCAGAAGTAATCCAAGGTTAGGAAAAAAGGTCTTTTATACCAATTTTATCAACATTGTTCATTTGGCATTAGTTTCAGTGTGGTCATTTCCTGCAGATACGTTTTTAAACGAGAGGCATTTTTCTCCCATTTTGTTCTCTCCACCTACTTAAATAGCATGGTGGGAGGGATAACAAAGTTAGTGGATTGTAAAGTATAATTACCCAGGTAAACCAGCAAAAATATTAAAAATAAAATTACCTAAATTTTTAACATGATCATTTCATAATGGTTTTCTGAATTTATGGTTCACATGCTTTCTAAAAGAGGTAAGGCATGCCTCGACAGGGTTACATTGGTCTAGAATTTTGAAAAAACAAAAACCAAAAAACCCCAAAACAAAAAACCCAACCTTATACTACAGGTGAACCTATATTACAGTCTCATGGGCAGAAGGCCATAGCACACCTTCAATTAAAGAACAGATATATTTTCCATCCATCTTTTTTAAGTGACTTTCTGTCAGTTGGGTTTTCCTAAGATCCATGAAGAAGTTGACTCTGGAGCTGTGTCTAAATCACTGAGCTGTTCATAGTTACGATCCTTTGACTGTCCAGACAAAACCAAGTCAGAGTGTATCATAGCTTTGCTCTTGTCTATGTACCTGAATTTTCTTCCTATAAAAGCCACAGTGCACGGAGCACTGTGCTACATACTTAGGTTTATCAGGCACATACTTAGGTTTGTCAAATTAAGCAATCTGCTTATAACTGGAGTGCACACTTTAACTGGGGAAGAGTTCTCAGGGCCTACAGTTTAGATATAGTCTGAGGAAGTCCTATCAACCAGGTCCAGGGAAAGAGCCAGGCAGCAAAGATTCTTTATCATATTAATGGCATTACATTGCAATTATGCATTATTTATAAATAAGTACATTTCACAGAAGTGAAAATCTTGCAGTACTTAGCTTGAAAGAGATATTCATTCTGTTTCATTGTTCAGCTTTTTTTTTTTTTCTCTCCTCCACTTAGTGCAAACTAAAATACCTGTGTCTTGGCAACTTAATTTTTTTTGGTGTCTTTTTTTCCCTACAACTGCTTTCCAAATCAGAAGAATGTCAGTAGAATCTCAAGGGCATCCGAGAGGTTTCACTAATAATCTCATTTGTGACATTTTGTGTCAGAGGCAGAGAGGTTCCAGGCACTCAAGCACCACTCTATTAGTAATTCAACAAAACCCAGGAGCCAAGATTCCCTGCATCTTGAGAAAGCTACCTGTGTGAGGCAACACCTCTGAGCTAAGGGCTAGTAATGCTGAACATTTAAAATTTTTCAGTCAGTAGCCCTCTATTATTGGCTGCTGATCTCTGACAATGTATAAAGGTAGCCTAGAGTAACTTCTCTTGAAATAGGGGAACAGAACAAATTTATAGAAAAGGTGAATAATCACTTGTCCAAAAATGTTCTGTAACAGTCCTTCACTATCTCCAACCAGTTGATTTCATGAAACCAATTTAAAATAGTCATTAATACAGGAACTATTATAACAGGCAAACATGTTTTGACCACTACAATGATGCAAATAATCATTCAAGCAATGCTCAAATTTAATCACTGACCTTATCAATGAAACAAAATACTTTCTCAGAAACACAAAAGTTTAAGTAGCAATTGTTCCTCAGAAGTAGTCGAATATACTGAGCACACTGGGAAGGTGGTTCTGCACAATGCAGAAATGCCACAGCAGGACTTTTTGTTGATTTGGAACAGAAATCGAGGAGTCCAACTATTCTACAAAAACATCATCTTAGCACTTTCCACCAGCAGTGACAAGCTAATCCAATAAAACAAAATCAAGTTGATCCACCACTCAGAAGGCTCTCACACAGCCAGTTTACTCAATAAAGGAGAAACCTAAAGCAAAACTAAATACCCAGAGACATGCTCTTTGTACATGTGCAAGTACACAAGCTGTTTCTAAAGATGGTCAGCAATCTCACTGACCAAACACCATTTTCTACTTGCTGTACTCCTCTACAACTCCAAACTGAGATGTATAAACCAAAATACGCTAGACTAAGATTCATCTTTTGTTACTTTTACCTTCCCACATGGGACACCAAAAGAACTTTTAGTGAATTTGAAATGCTGGAATACCTACTTTTTTGCAATATACTACGGGGCAATAATTTCTTCACCAGTGTGTGCAAGCCCATCTACTCCAAGGCTGTATTTTACCCTCAGCAGAAAAGCAGCTAAGCCTCAATTGCATACACTTATTCTAGCAATTTTCATTGTTACTTGTATTTTTTTGGTACAGGAAAGAAGTTTTAAAACTGAAATTACTTTTCTCCGTATACTTTTATACCGTACAGGTACTAAGAAGTACCTTGTTTTGTAGTTAGTTATATGGTGATACTGTAATACTCCTGATGTATGAAATTCTAATTCCCATTCTCAGTTTCATACCTTGAGAATATTCTAGCACAGCATCCATAGATTCAGAGTTCTTAAACCACGAATTCTACTCACTGACCAGTCAGGAAAACTAGTACAGTCTCCAAATGACATCAGTTCCTAAGCTAAGCAACAAAGGTCTTCCGCTGCCCCTCTGCCATCTACACTGGAGACTCAAAGGACACTTACTTTGAAGTCTGCTTGCTATTCCTATTCCTAAAAATTAAGATTGGTATTAAGATAGTATAAATACACCTCTACAGAAACTTACTTGTAGAAAGGTAAATGTTGAAACACAAGGCTAAGCAAATAAGCCTTAATACTTAAAACAGGTAAATATAACCAAATAAATTTGCAATTAAGAGAAGGCTAACTCTCTTAACCAAGAGCTTAAATTAATTTCCTTATGCATATTAATGATACAGCTTTAAATTAACAATAAGTTACATATCTTTCAAAAAAATGATATAACTTACGCAAATTTTTAATATACATCTGCTTAGTCATTTCCTCACTATTTAACTTACTTCAGTTCGTTTTAATAGTGTAATACATCTTTAAAACTGATACTGATATGTACTCCTTCTTAGAGGGTACACAGATAACTTCTGTCAAATACAACTGCTTAAGATTGATGCTACGAAATAAGTGGAAACAGAACTCGGCACTTCCTACTTCTTCCAGACCAGCACAATATGAAGAGGGAAAAGCAGAGAACTTAGAAAAAACTTTTGTAGCACATTAAACTTAAAGAAGTGACATGAATATGTGCTAATTGGACACTTAATTCTGTCCTAAGTTTCATAAAGAAGAGAAATTAAACAAGCCACAAATATTCATTTGCTTTGTTCACTGAAAATTAAAATAATACAAGCCTGTCAAGGAATTCTTTTACAAAAAGTTTATTTTTGTTCTCCTTACTTCACTGTAAGTATCATGGGCATCTACCACATGGACATCCTGAACATCTTTAATGCATCAGTCTCATCTGTGCTACATCTACATCTAATGCATTTCTACAAGTATTACATTTCTGCACCTGTAGAAACTACAAAGTCTTGAAAATGGAATTTTAAATACAGAGGAATCACAAATAAGAAAACTAAAAAAAGATAAAAAGTAACATATTTTCATTAATAATAAAAGCAATTAAACATATTTCTGCTGCATGCCTTCAAGATTTGCTCTGTTAGCAATCCTAAGACTGTTGGTTTTAGAAATAATCTCACCTGCAAAAAAACTCCCACAAGTCTAGATTTTGTATTCTCTTAATTCTTTTAATTCGGTGGCTATCCATTGTTTTTCCAAAGAGACTAGAAACTTCAGTATATTCATTTGTTTTCTTTTGCAATGGAATAAGCTGGAAAAAAAGAGGTTAGTACGATTTCAGTTCGATGCATTATTTCATTATCACATGTTTTTGACCAACTTGCATACCAACTCTTACCTGATATGGCTCCTCAGTATTTACATTCTCCCAGTGTGAAGGCATAGGGATAGCCTCATTTTCACAGATGAAACTTCAAACAAAAAAAGGTAAAAACACATCACATCAAAGACATGAGGCATTTTCTTCCTGTCAAACTCCTGCTCCAAACAATACAGTATGCCAAAAAAAACCCTTATACAGAACTACTTAGGGTTTTAATTCAAACAAAGGCTGTTGTCAGCAGGTAAGGTCAAAGGCAAGAGGTCTTATTTTGTACTCAAATTCTGGCTTAGCTTATTATAAATAAAGCACAGTAATGAACAGTTTTAATACACCACCTACCCAACAAAAGATAGGAAGATAAATCAGAAGAGATGGTCAGAAAGGTCCGCAACATCAGGAGAGCAACACTAATTTAGAAATGTGAGAGTGTACATATACCCTGAACATTCCAAACTACCAGGAATTACAACTAGCCTAAGCCTCTGGAAACTGAGCCCTCATTTGAAGTACTTAAAAGCATTATGTTAGAAACACACACTTGAAAATTATAGTTGAATTTGTTTTTAAAAAAACAAAACCAAACCCTCAAAAAAAGAATGTTTTAAGCATATACATCACATACATAGCAGCTTTTAAGCCTTAAAACTGTGACTAAAAGAAGCAATCTCCTGAAAGTAAAGAACGGTGTCATCACATGGAGAGAGTACTGAATGCAGTTATTCAAGAAACAAAAAAACAAAAGCAAATTGCCACATTATTGCATGCACTCTTCAGCAAATATCCATTGAAAAAACAGCTGACACTTCAAAGACTCAGGCCTTCTTGAATGTCAGCGTAAAAAGATTGCTACTACATTTCTTATTACAAATGCCAAAATTCTTTTTGAAATTATAACCAGACTACAGTTCAGAACTAAAATTATTTCTCAGAAACTATTTGGGGAAAAACCCCCACATATTCCATATAGTCAATTTTACCTGTGGTACTATCACTGCATAGATCAGTTTATTGTTTAGTGAGTATCAGATTTACATCAGCACAGCTTTACATCTAATGACTGATCAAATGGTAAGAAACTTACAATCTAAAGCAATTAGACTCATAAAACAATCTGGTTGTTATGATGCAATTTCTTGTAATTTCAAATCATTTTAGAATAAATGATTAAAACATACAGGCAAGAAAATATAACTCAATCTTTTTTGCTGTTACAGTAATACTTCTAAATAATTTATGAAGGCATTATTACAATGGAACAAACTACTCCATTTTTTGCTGCTGCTTCTCCACAGCAATTCTGATTCAACAGGTATTTACAGCAAGGGACTCCAACAGCTGAAGTCAGGCACAGCTTTAAGAACCTTGCCAAAGGGTATCAGTATTCAGTATGCCTTGCTTCTCCCACTACAAGTTCCTTACTTTCTCAGAAAAAAGATAAAAAACAAACTAAAAATTCTTTTGTTACTCTTCTCTGAAATGTCTTCCTTCTTCACTTGACTAGCTCCCCACCTTGGTTCACCTCTCAAATTGTTTGATGCAAAAAGTAGATAAATATAAACAATAAATATAAAACATATTCTTGTTTCATTTTACTTTGAAGAACCAGGAGTAAAATAAAAGTAAGGGATCTTCCTTTTATTTCCTTACCTGAAAGCACTGATAGAAAAGGGAGCTCGCTTTATTGGACGTTGCTTAAGGGTAGTTAGGTTGGTTTGTTTCATCACTGAGCATAAAACAAGAGTTAGGATGAAAGTTTCTGGAATTCATCTATAGCACATGAAACATTTAAGTGTAATTTCTTTCAGTAACATTACTACACCGAAAGTTGCTTGACAGGAATTCCTATTTCAACAATTAACAAATCAGCATTTTCGATAAACGTTTCTAAATACTGGCCTCAGAATCGTTGTCTTTTAATGGCCTAAATACTGGCCTCAGAATCGTTGTCTTTATATGAGTTGGCAAAATGAGCAAATATCAAACAAACAAAACGTTTATTGTTAAAATACCCATCTAACATTCAGCCCCACTAAATCAGTGGCAAAACTTCCACTGGCTTTAATACAACTGGTACAACAAAGCATATTACTACTATCCTTAATGCAAGACATCATGACCTACAAACAGTAACATAAAAATCATTCTTTAGCATTTGCATTTAGTGTTTTTATTCTGGATGCAAAACAAAGGTTTTTTTAAACAGACATTTAAACACAAGTAAACATAAAATTCCTTGTATTGTTACATACTACTTTACTCCCAGTACATCGCTGTTTTACCCAGTCCCCACTTTCTGTATGTGAAATACTATTATTTTCTTTCATTTGGAAGAGGCTTCTATTTAAGCATATAGCTGTTTCGTAATTTAATCAGAAAATAAACAATCTAGGCATGGAAAAAATAAAAAAAAAAAGGAAGTTATTAGAACACACCTTTGAACAAATGACAGATTAATTTATAATTAGCTACATACATTAGAACCCTGTAATATTCTGTATTTACAAGCATGGCATAAGTGACATCTTTCCAATCTACTAGAAAATCCTTTTGCCTATCTCCTTGTTATTCTGACAACAGAATTGGCTTCAACTACCTGCTGAATTATTAAATCACTTTGATGCCAGTATTTTGCAGAAAGCGTCCTTCATATCAATGTTTCTTATACAGACTCTTAATGGAGGAGGTTTTTCAAGCTTACAAGCAGCTGCATGTTAAAGAAAAAAAGGTTCAAACTTCCCAGTCCCATAGGTGTATGCTACATACCACCTACAGCTAAGGTAAGCGGCAGCAACATGATGGAGTGCCACTAAACAAGACATGCTACTTTATTAATAAACTACACTAGAAAATGTAACAGGGCAGCTGCTTCTAAAAACTCCTACGTACTTTCCAGTAAAGAAGACATATCCAATCACAAGTTTTTGCACTAGATATGAGGACAATAACTTGCAGAATGAACAAATGAACTAGTGTATCTGCCATCTTCTATTATTTAAATTTACTCTATGAAAAGATACATACCTGAAAAGTCTAGCGTGTAGTTAAATTTTGCAGTAGTAAAAGAAACAGAACCATGTGGGTTTGTTCGGAAGCTCCTTTCAATATCTTCACTGCTAACAGAGCAATGACTGTTCGAATCAGTCTTCAAAATAAATGAGAAAGCACATTTAGACAAATTAAGCAATAGGTAGTTTGATGTATGGAATCTATCACAGCTAATACAACTTCATAGGTAGTTACCTGAAACATATGCCATTTACCACACTCAGCCAAATAAAACCAGCCCCACTGGGTATCAGAGGTATCCATCTCTTCAACTGAACTTTCCATCTTTGGAAAAAAATCTTCTGATGTTCTTTGAAGCATTTCCTGAAACATTCACACACATACACAAAAAAAGTTTCGATACTATTTGCAAAAATGCATTATTTGAGAAATTCACAAAAAAGCAAAATAAAGTGAATTTGCAATACTGGAAAAAACCCCAAAACCACCTGGCAGGCAGAGGGCAGATTTCTTTCCTCTTTTTCAGAGAAAAATTCTCAATTTGCTATTTATCCAGTATTATCCTGTAAGTTAATTAAACATTTTCAAAACTCTCTCAAATGTCTGTAAGTATGCCAGTAAAGGCAAGAGCTATAGGTTTTATCAGATCAAAGAGAGGTGATAAATTTCATACTGATGGTCGTATGAGCAAGGCCGTTCATATATACAACAGGCTCTGAGTTACATACCACTCAGGAATAAGGTGTTGGAGTTACGTCTGATAGCTTGATGAAAACATCTACTAGGTACTTACCAACAGTGAACAAGTCAGACTGGATATCAGAAGTTGTTAGAAAAAAAATAAAAAACTAAGACAAAGAATATAATTATTTAACTGTGCAAGTCCACAGTGCATTATTCCTCAACACTGTGTGAAGGTTTGTTTCCCACCTAATGCACCCACTTAAAAATGATACAGTAAAATTACTGGTACTTTGTACTTGTAATTACAGAGAAGGTTCACACCAAAAGCCAGAGTGACTTCCACACAAGCAATGACTCCCATAGTTGGGGTTCTGCAGGATGGAAGAAAAAGGACTGAGGAAAGGATATAGCAGAGGTCTACAAAATCATGACAAAACCGAATAGGGAATAACAAATCACATTTTCTTCCAACATAAGAAGGAGACACCTATCAAAGGTTGCACATGTCAAGTTCAAAACAAGTGAAAGAGAAACTTCTTCATAAAACATATGGCAATCTATGGAATTCCTTTTCATGATATGCTGCGGATGCTGCAAATTTATGGAAGTTCAAAAAGCAGGTAGACAAGTTCAAGCCTACCAAGAGCTATGCCGGAATACCTTTGGAAGAACAGTCCCTGCCAGATTTCAGCTCCTTCTTCATTCATCAATAAAATTGTGAAAACTCTGAAAGCACTTGACTCTACTTGCATATATCTCCTAACATGTCAGCTCTGTCTGCCACACACACACCCCAAGCAAAAATTCTAAGTAGGTTGCGGGGAATCTTTCAGAGAAAGAAGCTTGCCCTACTCCCAGAAAAGGTCAGCAATTCATCCACTCTAACTGCTTAACCAAGACTGGCACTCTTCCTAACAATTTCCTCAACTTAAATTTTGCTTCCAAGAAGCGAACAACACCCTCCAGCACAAGTAAGTCAAACTATGTCCAGTTAATATCCTGGATGCTTCAGTTGTTTCCTGGACACTTCAACCAGAAAAAAAGTAGAGACCTGAAGAAGTCAAATACTGGAGACTAGAAGTAGGCACCAGCTGGCCAGTGCTACTGGTGCAGGAGTTGAGAGCAGAAGGCACTTCTGCTAGCACTACCCTTCTCCCTTATTTTTCCCAAGCTAGCCCTCTGTGTCTGTTTGAAAAACAATCCCAGAAACCTCCTTGTGGTAATAGCTAGAGACTGTATTCTAATCATCAAAAGCTCCAAAGGGCTACAAAAATCTAGATGCTTAGAAAACAGGGCAATCAGAAGTGGACCTCCACAACATCTCTAAATTGCAGAATCTGAGGGCAAACCTACTTCAGTACAAATGGAAGCCTACACAAGGCTACATACATGGATAGCTGCCTCAAGTTCAAGCAGAACTACACTAAAGGTACATAAGCTGCATGGAAAAATATTTTGAAAGAAATAAGAAAACTGTTCTTTATTTCAGAGGACATCTGCCAACATCTCACATTCCTCACAGCAATACAAAGTCACAGCCTACATTCGCTTGGTGTTAAAGCACAACTGGCCACCATCTTTTGATGATAATCTTTCACCTTCAACTTGATTCTTCCCCTCTGATGAGTATTTGGCTGTGTTCTCTCCTACAGAGAGAAGGCAGAGGTAGTCTATGCTTTTTTAAAGCTAAGAGGAAAGCAATTCAGGGTTTTTTTTGTAACATTTAGTTTCCTCATGTTCCCACTAAAACGGCCAGACCTCAGCTCCATCCCAACGTTAGTTCAGGGCCTTGAATCTGATCAATCAAATCAGTAATGCCTTTTGAACAAGTTACAAACAGAGAAGGCATCTTCATCTGTGCCCTGTCAACACGCTTATAGCTCCTTTGGAGGCAACGCAGCCTCCAGAATAAACCATTTGCTAAGGAGACAGTTATTCCCATAGCTTTCAAAAATGTTACATTCAATCCACGTGTATTACCCTAGTCACAAAGTCTAGGGTAAGCAGGTAGATTCCAGGATACTTAGAAGTATGGAAGAACAACCCAAAAGCATGAACATGTAAAGCCATAAAAACAAGAGAGCTGTTCTCAAAGGTGATACAGATCCAAATTGCTCAACTTACTGATGAATTTAAAAATCAAACCCACACCATTTATAAGGAGCAGGTAGCTTTTTGTCCAAAAACTCTGAATGCATGCCCAGCGAGCAGAAGAATCTCAGTGAGTTTTTCTGGATGACAGAATGTCAACTATCAAAGATGCAGCAATGAGAATTTTATTAACGATGCTGTTGCTAACAGAAGGCCTCTCAACTCCCATTATTATCACTGTTTCTACTGGTCCAGGAGTTACCAGAACAGCTCAAATTAAACACAATTACTCTGACAGCAAAAACATCCTCCTAAACAGAATGAATGCTCACTGCGTGTTGTGCTGTGATTGAATGGCTTTACTACTACTGGTAATGCATGGCCTCATTTTTCCAGAAGTACTTTTAAGTTTGAATGATAAACACGCTTCACAGTGCATAGAATCACAGCACAGTTTGGGCTGGAAGGGACCTTCAACCCCCCTGCCATGGTCAGGCACATCTTTCACTAGATCAGGTTGCTCAAAGACCCGTCCAACCTGACCTTGAACGCTTCCAGTGATGGAGCACCCACGACTTCTCTGGGCAATCTGCTCCAGTGTCTCACCACCCTCACGGTAAAAAATAAAGCAGCATCCTGATGCGCTATTCCATCTGCTTTCTTGTGCTGTCTGCTTCCACTTGGCAGTTTGTGCTTTACTGCCGGAGACTTTCGCCTACAAACACCAACTTTGTATAGCTCCCTGCTGGGAACACTAGCAGTGCTAAGGGACTCTCTGGCTCTTCCTTAGAGAACAAGGCACCTGAGCTAGAGACTTGGCTGAGGTAAGAGTGCAGGGCTAGGGAGGGGAAGGGAGAAGAACAGCATCAGCACTAGTACGGGACACAACGTGAAATGACAACACCCTCCGCAGCTGTGTCACCACTTACCCCCTTCGTGCTGCAGGGGACCACCGTTGCAGTCACCCCCTTTACCGACCCCCTCCAGAGCTGATCCCGTTAGAGCTCAAGGACACGGCGGGGTGGTCGATATAAGCACAGCACCAGCACCTCTCCATCTGGGTCGCAGGCGTCCCCAAAGATGGTGGCCTACGCCCCCCACCCCCTTCCCCAACCTGGCAGCGCACTCGCCGGCGGGGGCGGGGCGGGAGGGGAGGAGAAGCGGCCTGCGGGGCGCGCGTAGTACGGAGACGGGCTGAGGAGGAAAAAGACGAACGGAGCGGCCGTTTCCCCCGTCCCCCGTCCCCCTCCCGCCCGCACTCACCGCATCGGCCGC